CCCCAAAAAGACGGCCTAGCCATTTTTTCAGGCTCAAAAAACAAAAAAGACCCGGCCTTATTATATGAGAAACACGGTAGTTTGCTTCTTGAAAAATTTTTTATAGCAAATAAGAGTGACGGTAAACCAGGTAAAGCAAAAATAACTCAGAAATAACCCTTGTAATTATCTTTTGTTGGCTTCCGGCAGTGATGCCTTGGTGAAAGGGTGAAGGGAGAGCGGTCTCCATCTCTGGGTCTCGTTTCTTCACTTTGGGGGACCTTTCGGGACGTGAGGAACCTGGAGAGCCAAGTGGAGAAGAGGGAAAGCCCGGAAGACGGCAAGGCGAAATGCGATTGCCAGCCGGCAAGAAGGGAAACCCCTGAAAACCCAAAGTGAAAGTGTCTGTCATTTTATTATGGCAGACCCGAGGCCATGGCTGAACTGTGAATGAGGAGGAAGTGAGATGATTATCAACAGAAAGTGTCATTGAAGTTAAAATCCCAAAGTTGCAATTGTGATGATTTGCCAAAAGTAAGTTTGAACTTGCTTCCGAGGAAAAAAAGAGCTCTGGTGAGGGGGGGAGAACCCCATAGTACAGGCGGCGAGACAATAAGAAAGAGCTGTGATTCAGCACTTTTTACAAATGGAAAGAGACTGAAGGAGAAGGGGTATAAGTTGGAAGTGAATAGTTCTAGGAAGCTGAAAGGTGGAGATTGAAATAAGACGAGAACTAGTGGAAGAAGAAGAAAATCCAGGGAAACCAGAGGAGGAGGTGGTGAAAAGAAGGTGATAAGGGAGCTGTATGAACTGTAAACTTTAAAGATAACAAAATAGGCTGTTATTGAAACATAAGTTTGATTTATATGATTAACATGATCTGTATGACCTGTATGATTTGAATGTATTTGTCTATTAGAGCACTGTCTTAAGGAGATTGTGGGTATAAGAAATCAAAAAGGAGGCTTTCTCCTTCTTTAATTTGAAATAACTTGATGGCATAGTTATCTTGACTGAATAGGATTATTGGGTTAAGGAACATAGTGATAAATAATCTTAGAGTAGGATATTAAGACTTTAAGAAGAATATATATTGTTGTGAGTATAGAGAATCTAAACCTTGACCCCTCTTTTATTGTATAAAGGAGAAACTACAATACACTGTGTATAGAAAGAAATAGAAAAGGGGTGTTTGAGTAAGATATATAGAGATACATGCAGATATAGATCTTTCAATTGATAAATACCTGACTACTGGATTACTGCTCTAAGTTAAAAGTGAATTAAGAAATTAAAAAGGGGCCCTTTTTGTCTTTCCTTCTCTATTGGGGTGATATTTGAGGTTATATTTACTTTGATTAAGTATTGTATATTGAACTAAGGAAATATAGTGATAAATAAGTTTTGATTACAATATTAAGAGATTAAGGGGAGTGTATATCTAGGTAATTATATATAAATGGAAATTAAATTCCCCCTTTTATTATAAATAAAAGAAAAAAAGAATAAATTTAATACTTTGTGCATAAGGAAAGGCAGGAGGACTTTGTCTGAGTAGGATATTGTTAGATATATAGTGATATTGACTTTGAGATAGAGAAAGGGATAACAATTGGTGCTAATTCTATATAATTATAATAAAGAGATTTGAAAAGAAGAAGGAATAAATTGAAAGTAAGAGATTAGTTTAAAATATATTGTAAAGGAGATAATAAAATAGGTAGAAATAAATAGAGCTTGAAAATAAGACAAGTGCCATGACATCAGCCTGGAGAACGGCAAAGAAGACAACATCTAGTCCAACATTTTTTAAAATATTTTTTTTATTAATTTTCAATAAACAAACATACACAAACAAAACACAAAACATGAAAACATAAAACTTCTTTTTGGAAAGCGGCTTAGTCCCGGGTTACATCTTTTTGTACAGACATAAATTCGAATTCATGCTCACTTTTATATACCATTTCATATCTTATTTACCATTCTACATTTTCTATATAGCTTCTCCCCTCTTTTCACTCTCTTAATTCTATTTTATTTATTTCATCTCAATTTAAATCATTACGCTTATATCTTTTATCTGTTCTGTTTCAGTTATCTATTATCTTTTCTCATTAACACAAAATTTCTCCTGTAATCACTGATTGAAGTATGACGCCTTTATATCTTTCCCCTAAATATAACACTTAAAATAGTATATAATTTTCATTCGGATTCTGCTTTGTACATTCTAAAGCTACATACTATATTTTAAAATAAGAAAAAATAATAAGTTTATATTATAATTGAAACAATAATCCATAGCAATTAAACTCTATCATTAAGTCTTAAACATTTTACACATTCCTTTTGATATTTTATCCCATTTTATAATCATATAATGTTCCAGTTTTCTAACATTATTTCAGATACAAATACAACAATACAATCTTATGTACTTTTGCAGAATCTCTTTTTTAATTATATTTTTACACATTATCTCTGAAAAAATCCTGTTTCTTTACATTTTGTGTCAAACCTTTGTAACTCCTCTTCCCCTTTTCCCTTACTTGCTTCTCCAATCTAGCCTTTTTACCCCCTTGTCTCTTGATCTCCACTCTCTTCTGTATTCCTCTTTTCTGTTGCTTTCTGACATTGTATCATTTTTTCACCTTATTTTTCCCCTTTTTGGTTGTTTTTTTAAGTCTTAAATTCTCTATTCTCTTTTCCCCCTTTCCCTTTTCTTTCCCAGCTAGAGTTGCTTGTTCGTTAAAGATGGCTTCTTCTTCATCCCAATCTTCTCGTTGTTCTTGTAGTTTCTCATAAGTAGAAATCGCCATTTCTAAGAAATGAAAAACAGAGCCAAAAGAGCCCTTCCCTTCTTGTTCCTCTTCTTTATACTTTTTAAATTCCATTTTCAGTTCATTGACAAGTAATGCCATTGTGGAATTTTTTTTTAAACAATGCAAATGTTTTTAGTCTTTCAAATAATAATTTCCAAAAGTCCCAAAGTCACCAAGCAATCCAAATGCACACAGGCAGTTTCACTTAACACTTTCTTCTTTTTACACTTTCTCTTCCTGGGGTTACAGTTCAGTTACAAAGTTCCAATTAAAATGTATCTTTTAGAAGTCTCGTTACAATTTAGCTCTAGTCTTGTAAATTCCAAGCAGCCTCCTCCAACAAAATGTTAATATTAATTCTTTTCCTCTCCCTTCCCACTTACAGCAAGAAAAGTTTTTTCTCCAATGTTCAGAAATCTTTATTGTCCCCTTGGCTTTAATTTTCCAGTTTAATTACCTGCTGATGCCAAAGCGGGTTTTCCCAATTTCTCATTCATCTGCTGTCACCGTAAGGAAGGAGAGTGAGAAAAAACAAACTTTCCCTTTTTACTTTCATTTGCCGCTTTTTCTGAATCTTCTTTGGGAGCGATGTATCTTTAATGAAGTTTAAATTCCAGGGTACTTAAATGTTACTTGTTATCCCAGTCAGCCAAAACTTTCACTACTCAGCTTCCTCCTGCACATTCTTATCCAGATAAGAGCTTCTTTGTGGCAGCCATTGCTGACTGCCACTCCTCTGCTTTCGGAAAAGGGAGTTAAAGCCAGCTGAGGAGGGGGTTGCGATTCCCCCGGACCCCTGCCAGATCTCCCCTGTTACCTCTACGGGGTAACTATAGCCCCAAATCCAGCTGGATCGGGGCACTCCAGCGGTGAGTGCAGCAGAAACTGCGCACAATTGCGGATTCCTGCCGCCGCCGAAGCCCTGCAAACCAGAAGTCTCCCAACATCTAGTCCAATATTGACAATTACATCACCTGCCAGTCAAAAGGCAATTGAAGGAATGTCAGGGGCAGAAAAACAAACTGTTGCCAATATGCTTCGTTAATACAGGCTTCATTAATGACTATTCAAGAAACCATGCTTAAATTGCAAGAACAACAGATGAAAATGCAAGAGAATATTTCTCAAAATCATATGGAATTGAAAGGCAATATTAATAAATTAGAAGAGAAAGTTGATACTATACAGCAAACAATGCAAAAGAACGAGCAGAAACTAGAAGAGGTGGAACTTAGAACAGTACAAAATGAAAAGAAATTGGAACTAATGGACAATAAATGATGATGACAATAAATAAAAGATTAGAAGAACAGATTATCCACCTAGAGATGGACCGCACTGCCTATTACTTGAGGTTTCAAAATATCATTGAAAGTAGACATGAAGATCTGAATGTGCTTATGACAGAATTACTTGCACCAGCTTTACAAAGGGAGACCCGAGAGATCCTGCTAGAAATCGACGAGGCCTATAGAGTTCAAATGTTTTGTAGATGGCACTTAGCACCAGCACGGCTAGCGAAAATGTATCCAACCTTGAAATCAGACTGCTGGGAGTGCAAACAAAAGAAAGGAACGTTTTTCCATATATGGTGGCAATGTATATAGGTCAAAAATACTGGAAGAAAATACAGAGATGGCCTTTTGAGATTACAAAATATAAATTGAAACATTGCCACCATATATGGTGGAAACATTTTTATTAGGTATGATCAAAGGGAATTTGAGTAAAGATAAAAGATACCTTATTGTACACATCTTAACTGCAGCAAGAATCACATTAACACAAAATTGGGGGAGTGATAAAATACCACCAGATGAAGTTTTGATTCAAAAAATAATGGACTGTGCTGAACTAGATAAATTCACTATGGAACTGAAAGGCAAAGAGGATCGAGAATACTATGCAACATGGTGGTATGAATGGGTGAAGGATAAGGATAAAAATAATGTATAGTCATAAGGTAAGAAACATGTATATACAATGACACAATAACTGTTAATGGAAATGAGATTTTTGTATTTTTTGTTTTTAAAGAATAAAAATTATTAAAAAAAAGAAATTATCTTTTGTCTCTGTAATCTCGCTGCATTGAGGGAAAGATATTATATCGCTTCAGACATTGTAACTTGGATGTCCTTCTGTATATATAGGACCTGATGTCATTTGTTCCTACAAAAAAGAGGCCTCTGCATATCTCATAACTAGGCAGTAAAGATACTTGATTCATGGCTTGCACAATCCGCACATAAGCTCAGGTAAGAAGAAAGGCTAGGTTTTTCAGAGCATGGGCACTTCTCTTTAAAAGAGAAAGAAGAAATGGTTGCAATAGTAAGGGAACATAAAAAAGAATTAAAGAAAGGAGTAAGAAATATAAAAAAAATATTTATAGGACTCCTGAGGTAAAATGATGTCCACAACTGTACCCACTCTTATTAGTATCCCAGAGAAGTCCTGAACTGGGAAAAAGGAAAGGAACAGAGGCAACCTTACAGGAATAAGAAGGCCAGTGTTGAAAAGCTACATTTCAAAAGAAGATGAAGACAAGAATGAAAACCAGGGATAGCCTTTATTTCTTCCCTGAACATTTGGACAGCATAGCTTTTCAGTTATTTTCCCAGCCAGACAAAACAGTTATGGTGAATCTGGAACTGAGTTGCAGGAGGAGAGGGGGCTTTTTCCCCAGGAGGTAAGACACCATTCAGTCATGTGTCCTTGGTGAGCAGAAAGAGGCTCAGAAGGGTTCCTTCCCAAACCTTCGCAGGATTTTATCTGATAAGTTATTCAGAACATGCTTTAGTCTGCCAAGATTTCTGTTATGGGTGAAGAGCAGACAAGAAACTATTCTGAGCAATTCATTGTGTCATTTGTGTCTTCTCGCCCCTGTCAGCAATGAGAGCCAACTGGGAAATCTGCACTGAAGCCAGTGAGTCTGGACAGTGAGCCATGTCCAGAGCAGTTATCTTGACAGCCATGAACTCAACAATAGTAACCAGCCTTGGAAGATAAAAGGGTGAGACAGGATGAAAGAGATGGTAGAGAGCTATATTGAGACACAAATAGAATGGGTCTACCTGTGGAAAAAGAAATAGGCAGGCAGGCAGATAGATGGAATAGCTTGATAAGAATTAAGTAAAACTAAAAATAGGTGAGAGTAAAGAACAGAAGGAATTGGTAAGTCAATGATGAAGTAAAATTTCAGTAGAGGTGATAAACAGAATTTAATAATGTTCCTGCAGATAAAGAAAAAAAGACTACAGAATACAAGATAACGCTGAAGTGATTAAGGCCGGATGAAAGTGTAGTGAATTTGTGGTACAGAACTCAGATTAATTGTAATAGAGTAGATTAAAGATCCAGAGAAAACTACCAAAACTTAAAAAGATCAGTGAAGCATTAGGAATAAGTTAAGATGAATTAGAATGAGTGTACATAGAACATAAAACATACAATGAATAACAAAGGACTTCACTCTACACTTACTTTTTTTAAAAAAATGCTAGTTATTCATGATAAAAATAATTTGGACCTGCCCAGGGCTATTTTTAATCTTAGAATGTTGCAATAATCCTCTTATCTTCCTTGTCTTAAAAATACTTCAGGAATTTTTGTATGATTAAGTTCCACTATATCAGGTTTTGTCCCAGCTATTCCTGAAGTTTGTACGTACATGTTTATCTTCTTCCTTCGGTTGCTGAACATTTTTTGGACTTTGTCTTTGATAATTCAATGCTGGCTGTGAATTATGGATATATAAACCCTGATAAAAAAAAAAACTACCTCACCAGTCAGCTAGCTTTAATATTATGAAAACAGTATGAACCCAAATCTCACTTCTGAATCTATTTTAAAAAGTTAATTTGTTCACTGTGGAATATAGTCCCACTTGTTTTGAATCATTGCCCCCTTTGTCCTCCCAAGAACATATTAAATGCTGCTCAGACTTGGAAATGTTGCATAGCCCTCTTTTCCATTGTTTATCTGTAGATTTATTTATTTAATAGGAAATACAGTTAATAGCCAGCAGGAAATTGCAGAATTGATCTGCTCAGTGGAAAATCTGGATGGAGTTTGAAAAGCAGCAGCAAGACCTTTCATCTTCACTATGTTTCATAATTTCAGAAACCCTTATCATCTTACAGGAATACCTATTAGTGAAAATAACTGTTCTAAAGTTTCCACAAAACAATTCTTAGGTGGGAAATGAGTGTTGTTCTGGGATTATGGATGGCGCTATATCTCCAAACCCAGGGAAAGCTAAAGAGAAAAGCATGTTTCAAAAAACATTGTAGAAAGTCCTATAAAGGTGATGCTGTGCTTTGACTGACAAAGGAAAGTGTTCAAAAACAGAGGGTTGGCAGGGATGCTTGTTAACCAAAAAGAAGAAGCAAAAAGAGAGTGGAGGAGCTTTCAATGCTTGCTATTTGAGTGAAGTGCATTTATTTGACAGACAATTCATTGTACTTCAATAAGAAGGAACTATGGCAGCCAAAATAAAGAGAGTTTCATTTAATATCAGCTTAAGTGCATCACAAATCTAGACTGAATAGATCTGAAGAGCCTTTGAAAGAGCTTAGAGCTATGCAATTTTGAAACCTTGTACTGTGAGCGTTAATTCATCTTGCATCAAGGAAGATTGACTATCTCTAATGTATGTCTAGAACTGATGAAAAAATGTCACAGGTATCCCTGCGAGCAAGGTATAGTAAGCAACTAGCAAAGAAGCAATTAGAGATAGAAAGGAATGTGTGGAATTATTCAAAAGTCAATCACTTCTCCTCTGGACAAAATTCTAATCAATAAGGAAAAGGAAGACAGAATAGGGTTCTACTGACATTGGTATTGTAAACCTCATTAAAAACTTTTTAAAAAACTTGTGAGCTTCTACAAAAAGAAATAAAAACCAAGAAAGGACAGTATGGAATCCACTGAGGTGATTACTATCTCATTTTCTCTCTTTCATTTCAAGTGGTAGGTTTCATTAGAGGCAGGACAATCCTGCATTTTCATTATGCTGAGGCCAAAGGTCTGCCATTCTATAGCATGAGAACAGTTGCTTTATCCTGCAGGTGTTCCATAGAAAATTGTTACTAGAAAAGATGGAAAGGGTAGCAATCTAAAAGCTCTGCTAGCCTTTACTGATCCGAGACGATGTCACAAATATGCTTCTTTGGTCTTTTTGGCCTGAACAAAATACTTCTTTAAAAATGGAAATTTCCCAAGTTTTTTAAAAAATGGCATCAAACTGGTTTATTGTAGAGGCAGGAGAATGGCTTTGAAGGAGAAGAGGAAAACCTTCTACCAAAACCAACAGTAAGATAAAGACAGCCTGAACCCAGGTCAGGAAAGTAACTTGAGAAAACCTTTCAGACAAGTCTCTCCATAGTTCACATAAAGATGAAGAGAAGGTTGGGGAAGCACATTCAGATTTGCAATATTCTCTTACAATAGTTGCTGCAATAAAAGTAGTCTTGACTACATGGCACTGATTTTTTAAGATGGCCCTAGTAGGGCTGGCATTTTGTATTTGGGATGACGGTTGATCCTTGATGACTCTGTAGATAAGTCCCAGAAGTACTTTGCTGTTTACTTTCTTCCTAGGACTGAGAAAGAAACTGATCAAAAGCCACTAGAGGTGCTGGAGGAGTACTGGTGGGGCTAACTACTATACCAGACTGGCATTCTTATCTTGCACTATGATACTTATATTTTCATGTTTAATATTTCTGCTCTTTTAACACATTTTCTTGTGTTGCTTTGTTGTTTTGTCATGCTGGAAACTGGAATGCATATACAATTTAATAGTCAATCTAATAGTGCAGTATTGGTTCTTTAGTTTGGATTCAGGTTATTTATTTTGGATTTAGATATCATCAGGCTCCCAGATGAATCTGAACAGCTTACATTTTAAAAGTAAAAAACAACTAAAGAAAAATGAAGAGGAATAAAAATATATATGTCCAGAGAGAACACACCCAACACAGCAGAAAACAAAACAAAACAAAAAACACTTGATGGAAGCTTGACAACCAGCCTAATCTGGGAGCAAAGCCAGGTGTTCAAAGACTTTGAACCATACAGATATCTTGAGTGGCGGATGTTATTTTAGAGAGCAGGCGCCATAGTAGAAACAGCAACAATAAATACCCAACAAAAAGCAAGTATATACTGTACATTATAGCAGGAGAATGAGACATGGAAATAGCAAGTGATATGCATCATTCTGCCCACTCTCAAAGGACAACAGAAGACCTAAAAGAACTTACCCTGGATAAGACATTTCTACCTGATTTTAATTTCAAAGTGCATATACATTGTTTTTAATGTCAGCTTCCATTTTTATGAAACCTCTTTGTTTAATTCTTCTATTCCAGATTTGGCACTGAGACTATAATCCAAAACATTATGTTATCACCTGATAGGTGTATGTGAAACTATAGCAAATTGCATCAGTGAATTCATCAAATATGTTTTCCAGATACTTTCTGTAAATCTGCTGGGATGTTTTACATAGCAGTTGGATTGCTTGCTGAATAACTAATGTGGCAGGGACAATTGAGAAATGCTGGTCAGGTGTTACCAAAGGGACTGCAACCACTTCACTCAGAAATCCTGTGATGTGAATTTTGAAACAAAACCCCCAAACCTGGCATATTCTCTCTGTGTTGAATTTGAGTGCCTTCTTTCCCAGGACACATTATTGATTGGATTATGGGAATTACAATTCAGCAGACCTGGATCTAATAACTTCTTCTTTGTAAATTATATAATTTCTGAGAGGGAATTCATTAAAACAGCTGCATCTTTTCCCAGAATCACTCACTAAGTCCTGGGAAAAGATCAATTTGTTTAACAAATTGGAGACAGGCACTGTGTGCATGCCCCCATGAGCTTTAAAATACCTTTCTGTCTGCACAGTTTTGATATGAACTATAGGTTCTTTAGACAACCACATTAAAGTGCTATCCACTAATCCTTGAGTGGGCAGAAAAAATGCCAGTATAAACTTTGGTGCCAACACTATTTTGAAACATTAATATGGCTGGAGAAAGATGCTAAGTTTCAACCAATAACGAAGTTTTTTTCAGATTCCAATCCCTCTCAGATGGGACAAATGCAGTTGGATATTTGTAAAGGTGTGCTAAGCTATGTGCCAAATTGTTCAATGGATAGGTCACGGACATGGAAATCTCCATCTCTGTGTCTATGGAGATTCTTAATCATCCAGGTCATGATTTCTTCAAGAGGCAACTGGACTTCCTTGTTTTTCTTGGAAGACGTTTTGCTTCTCATCCAAGAAGCTTCTTCAGCTTCAACTCAGAGCTGGTTTGTTCAGGTTATTTCTGAATGTGTGTCCAGTGTTTTTCTGGAGAGGTGCTAACCCCTTAACCTAAAATAATTTGGTTGATATATTGCAATTGAGAAGAAAGAACATAAGAGGAAGAGAGAAATATTCAGCCTTGGATTATTGTAAGGGAAATGCAGCAATAGGAGAGATTCTGTTTCTATGGCGGTCAGGATTGGGAAATAGCTTGTCGAGGGCCACGAATGGAATGGTATTACTAGACTCCAAAGCAATAAAGACAGTAAAGTTTGTGGGCATATGAATCATTATAAATAGAAGCAGAAGAAACTCTAAATCACATAAAGTGATGGGATCAACATTGCACAACTGACAGACATGGCTTTCATTTTCAGTTTGACTTTCCACACATTTGTATTTGTAAAGCAGGTATTTTCAAGGCTATAGATGATTTGGCAGTTGGGTTAACTTGGCATGTCTCTCCTGAAGCCCAAGATAAAATTACCATAGAAGGCACTTCCCAGTGATTGGCATAAATGATCTGTCCAAACTAATCAATGACCAATAGAAACTGGCAATGTGCCTCCCGCTCTGCCAAGCAACCATCTCATCAGTGGCACGTGATAGATCATATCAATAAGAAAAATTCGGGGGGGGGGGAGGAGATATAATATTAATTTAAAATTAGAATAATAAGGACAGCTTGATGTTATCTCAGTATGGATTGGGGATAAGGCAACGCATCCTTACATGAGGGTGGGGTGGGTAAATCAGTTGCCAAGGTATATTAGGAGGAATATGACAGACAACCAGTGGTTGCTGGAACCAGCTTATACCAGATCATGAGAAGTGATTGTTAAATTTTCTGGAATTTTGTGAGACAATTGAAGGCAATTCTGAGCCACACAGATTGGAATGCATGTTTGGTGGAGCATTTCAGTGGCACCAATGAAACTGTTAGTATTTGTGATGGCTGGAGACACTGTAAAATTTCCCCTCAGAATGCTGGTTGTTAAACATTAACCATCATACCAGTGGAAAGAGCTTCCTTTGTGGGCATTTTTCAATAAAGAAGGACAGGATTGTGATGGCAAGTTTGGTATACAATTTGCACATTTTGAGAAGAATCTTATGCAAGATAAGCATAAACTCTGTGTACAAGGCTCACCCACCTGGAATTCTTAGAACTGTACACATGAAGTACATCAAAATCTATCTTCTTATTTCTCAAATACTTTTTTCCCTATATAAGAAGATTTTTTTTTGTATTCCAGGATTACTATGCAATTCCTAATTTTGAGTTTATTTTATTGTCGCAAGATGGCAGTGACATTTCTTTTTTTCCAATCAGATGTCCTTCTGTCAGTTTTCAGTTTTCTGGTTACCCAACTTCCTTATCAAAGAAGTCTTCTTGGAAAGAATTTATGCATCATGCTTGCTCTTGGGATTTAAGAGTGGGAAACAGATGGTTGTAAAAATGAAACATTGGACACAACGAGCATCCTTTAGTCATCTTGTATAAAGCACAAACACTCCCGATTTTTCTTCTTGTATTGAAAACATTTTAGAATCTTTCCAATGTCAAACAGAATAAGAATTGTTCCTAGAAAGGGGAAATAACTTTAGCAAAGCATTGGTTCAAATCTGTATTTGTCTACACTGAAAATTGAGGTATGGTCATGGCATCACAATTAATTTCTCTATATGTATTTGATATAAATATTTTGAATATGTGAATTCTTTAATTATGAATTCAGAATGCCTAAGAATCTTTATCAATTGGAATAGCATCTCATTGATTATGTGCCATCAAGTTGGTGCTGATTCTTAGTGTTCACATAGATAGATTTTCTTCAGGAACATCTGTTCTTAACCTGGTCCTGCAGATCTTCCAATCATGCACTCCTCACATTGTAATCAAATCCATCCATCTTGCTGCTGGCTGTTCTCATTTCTTGAAACTTTCCCAGCCTTAGAGCCTTTTCTAAAGAGCTAGTCCTTTCCTTAATATGTGCAGAGTAGGCTAATTTGAGTCAAGTTCTGTGTACATCAA